AATGTCTAGGTGAAATTTTCTAGCCTGGGTATGTCAGTTAGCTATTGCTGTGTAATATGTCACTCCCAAACAAATCAAGCTTTTATATAACTCATGATTCTGTGGGCTGGTTAGGGGACTCCTTTGGTCTTGACTAGGCTTGCCCATCTTTGCTCAGCTGTGGGTCAGGTAGGGGGCTCTGCTGACACTGGCTGAGCTTTGTCAAGTGTTGAGAGTCAGCTGGCTGTCAGCTGGTTCAGGAAGGCCAGCTTGCTCACATTTCAGAATCAGGGGCCCCAAAGAGGGAGAAGCAATGAGCAAGACCCCTTGTCTGGGCTCAGAACTGACACAGTGTCCCTTCTGCCCACTCTACTGGCCAAAGGAACTCACCAGCCAGCCCAGATTCAAAGGGTGGGGGTAACAGACTCTCCCTATTTTATCGAAGTCGCACTGCAAAGAGCATGGACAAAGGGAGAGTAAAGAATTGTAGGCTTATTTTTTTATTTGCAGTTTATCACACTGGGAGAACTTTATACATACACACAGATACAAGCAAAAAAGCTTATTTTAGCTGCTGTAATGTAGGAGCAATGATCAGAGAGTGCATGATTAGGCCTTGGAATTTAAAAGAAGACATGTTTCCTGTACTCTAATTTTAGGTGTCCATTCTCTGAAGGTGTGACCTTAGTTTCTCTATCTTCCTATTGTTTCTCTGTCCTCCTATTTTCGCTCTGTCCTCATTTGACTACGTTTTCAAAGGACTGGAGTTTTCAGATGCCTGAGATCATTTAAGATGCAGGGTTTGGCTTAGCCCTGTGTATGGAATTTTTGTAGTGTGTAATTGAGCGCTTTTGGCTATAATCGTTTATTTTTCTAGGATGTTCTAACTCAGTGTTTCTTGGCACCATTTAAGACAGTCCTGTCTTCTAATTTCAGACCATCAAATTAAACATTTTTTTTGAAACATTATTCTGGACCAAGGAAAAAAATAGAAGGTTTTCTGGCAATATTTGTGGACTTTTGATTTGTAGCTCCTGTGAAAGTCTTGAGACTCCAGATCAGGGGCTGCCAACTCACAGGCCAAAGGCTGGGTGTACAGCTGGGTGTATTATCAGGAGGTGATAGGATGTGGGGGGGGGATCCTGGGATACACCAGCAGGTCCTGACATTTGCTGCAGGTAAAGTAAACTAGGGAGCTTAAAAAATGCCCAGGCTGCACTCCAAACTAATTAAAACAAAATCTCTGGAAGTGGGACCCAGATATCAGTACTTTTTAAAGCTCCTCTGGTAATTTCAAGATGCAGCCCAGTGTGTGAACAAGGGAATTAACCCAGGATTTCTTCGTCTTCAGTGTGCAGACCAACGACCAGCAAACCTCGTTAGGATGCAGATTCCGCTTTGACAGGTTTGGGGCGGCCTGGGATTCTGCATTCTGAGTAAATCCTGGGTGATGCCAGTGCTGCTGGTTTTTAGACCACACTGAATAGCAAGGACCTTCAGTAGAGATCTCAAGCAGCCCACAGTCTGGTCTGTTGTTGTGGGTTTTTTTTTTTTTTTTTTTGGTTGGTCTCTTTCATATTTAAATGCAAATTGAGTCAACATTTCAAAATCAAGAGATTTCTCATAAAAAGTCATATTTCTTATTTATTGTGAAAAAAGTGATTCTCCAACACCAGATCTGCATTCCCGCATGGACTGGTACTGAGTGACTTCCTGTGATAAGGGGGTACAGGTGGCTCACCAAAGTAGGCGCTCAACTGCCTTTTAAAAAATTTTTTGGCGGGGGAGGGTAGGGGAGGTAATTAGGCATATTTATTTATTTATTTTTAGAGGAGGTACTGGGGATTGAACCCAGGACCTTGTGCATGCTAAGCATGCGCTCTACCACTTGAGCTATACCCTCCCCCTTGAACTGCTTTTTGCTGCACTTATTCATCACTAGGACAAATGTGTCTTCTGTCCATAGAGACTGGCAGATTCATATAGAATACACAAATGCACATGTACATGCTCAGCAAAACCAGGGAGGCAAAAGCCAGCAGTTACGTGGGCAAAGGTGAAAGGAAAACTTAGATATGTGTATTACTAAGGATCCTGTTGGTTGCATCAGAAGCATATTGGAGCTGTTCAAGGTGGAAAAGCAAGTGAGGGGGATTGATTATAAGGCTCTCAGGGGAGCCAAGGAAGATACTCTCTTTGGCTCCACTGTGGCTCCTCACTGCACATCTTCCTCATTCCAGGTCTTGGCTTTCTCTGTTCTCCAGCTCACCTGGTGGAAGACAGGGCCACCAGCAATACATCGTTTTACACGCTAGGAATCGTGCTATGCAGTCCCAATCCATATTCCTGTGGAAGGGGTTGGGACTGGCTCAGCCTGGAGGCTGGAGGACGACTCGAGAGGCTTCTGCTACACTAAGTAAACTTATTCAACTGAGCATGCAGTTGAAGCCTCCCACACAGAGGGCGAGAACCAGTGCTCTGGATCTAGAATGACCCCAGTCCATCCCAGAGGCAGGAGGGTAGACAGGAAGTGCTCTGGACTCCTTCACTCATGAGGCATCATTGCCCGTTAAAGGAGGAGAGTCCGTCCAATTGCAGACTCAGCTATTTCATCATCATCATCATCATCATCATCCCTGAAGGTGACGCTAGGGCAATAGTGACTGGCTTCGTCAATTTCTTCCCTTTCCAAAACACAAGGCAAAGCATGAAAATTACATAAAGACATCAACTCCTGACAGCCCATTACAGGTAAACTTTTGTGTTTTGAATGTGACTGTTTGGGTAGGTGGCATTAAGTAAATAACCTACAGAAATGAGCTCTGGGAGCAAAGTCAGGGAAACACAGCCAAGGGTACACAAGACAGAGATGCTCCCGCTGAATTTCAAAAGGTGAGGAAACAAGAGGAAATGTGAAAATGGGAAAAGAGAAGAGGAAAATGTTAATAAGCTAGGTTGTTGAAGAATCTGAAAAGTGTTCATAAGAGTGAGCATTTACTTCCCTTTAATGAGATCGGGGATTATCTGTAAAAACATTTAGCTCTGATTGTTTTAAAGAGAAGAGATAAAATGTTTAATGTGTGGCACCCTGGAGTGTGCCTTTTTTCCTTATTTTAAATGATAATCCTAATGAAACACCTATAATGCATAAGAGATCAAGTCATATAGCTTCCCATCAGAGATAGTGCAATTGCGAACAATGGCACAGATGTTGTGTATTCAAATGATGAGGTGAGAGCAGATTTGAGGATAAGAGGAACAGAAGTGCCTGATATAAGACCGCATATGAATACTCCCACCCAGTCCTAGGACCCACCCGTCTGACTTGGCCAAGATGTTTCATATACTTAGGGCCAATTGTTGAGTTTACTTTCTAATGAAAAATATTCCTTAGGGCTCTTCCTTGAGATCGGGGGGGGGGGGGAGTGATTGTACTAATAATTACCATGAGGCATTGGGTCCAGACCAGTGGTCCTAGAATGTTGTCTCAAAAGGCTGAGAGAATGCACATCAGTATGTAGGGAGGAATACTGAAGTAACTCACCCGCTTTGTCCTGGGGTAAGGTCTTCCGTGAAGCTTGTCAGGGGTTGTAAGGCTTGTCTATTTATCTTTCTCTGGCTATATTAAATCTATATGTACTTGTCATTCTCTCTGAAAGACTAACAGCGGTACTTTCTCTTAAATAATCACAGGTTAGGTGTGATTCCTCCAGTGGATTCACATGGAGACAGGCAGGGAAACCTCCCTGGTTCGTTTCCCCATCCTCCCTTCCCTTCCCCTCCCCTCCTTTACTTGGAATCAGGCCCTTGGAATTACACATTAAAAAAAATCTAATTGGTACTGGAAAAAGAATTCGTTCTTACTGAAGCATGGCTTCTTTCTACAAGGAAGGCCATTTGGAAAACCAAATCATGCTTGGTGAGGTCTCTGAAATGAGAGCAGGAAAAAGACTACGGCTTGGCTGGCTCCCTTCTCCTAGCCAGCAGGGGTGGAGACTTAGCTCTAGTTCCCTCGTAAACACTCCCTCTCTGGTGGGCCAAGCTGCCTTCTCAGTTGTGCTGATTGCATGAAACTAACATTTGTATCAAATACTCTCTGGCTGCTCCAGGCAGGTAAATTTCAGCAACCTCCAATTTCAGCCTCCGCACTTGGTGATTTCTAAGTCTCTCATGGCAGAGAAGAGTCTCTGCCTTTCCCAGATATGAAAGAGGTCTTTCTACCCTTTTGCAGAAGCCAAGGGATAGAAGGACACTTTGAATCATTCTCTCACTCCATTAATGTCTTCTTAAATTGTCCATAACCTTCAAGATTCCTGTGACTTCTGAAGTAATGAATACTTTAAAAAATGGGTCTAAAAATATTTCTTTACATGCAAAAATTGGAGTATATCACCCACATGCTCCAGCTAAGAATATACTAAGGAAATGACTGACCACAAAAAAAGAATAGAGAGCTGGGGAAAAACCAGAAAAATGAGGTGAACAACAGAATATCTGTAAATGGGTATAGATAGACTGCCGTTGTGAAATAAGAGAGAACAATAGCAAAAATTCTTCAAACAGAAGGGATATTGTAGGTAGAACTGTAATAAATGCTCAGCATATTTATGAGCTGGAAGGTGAAGGTGCAGGAGAAATTATAAATGGTGGTGACTATGAAACAGACTATGAAGAAGGTGTGTGGTGATAAGTAAAAGTGCATTAAAGATCCCACTTTGCTGTGGTCATGTAGAAACCACATGTCATGGGCCCCCTAAAATGGCCCTGTTAAAACTAAAGTGAGATTGAAGGGTAAAAGCACTAAGCAGGGTAAATAGGGAATATTATGTAACGGTGCATCAAACACGTGTGTACCAAACTAAGAGCAAGTAAATTGATGAGTAAAGTAAGGGAGAATTGATAAAAATTGAAAGTGGACTCCTCAATCACCTATCTCAGAGTTCTAAAAATGATTTAAAAAATTTTTAATTTATTAAAATCCTATGTGTGTATGTATTTATTTATATTGAAGTATAGTCAGTTTACAGTGTTGCGGCACAGAATCATATGACGATACAGACTGGGGAGAAACACCACCGAGGTAAAATGCCATTGCCCTTACATCATATCAAGGAGGCAAACTGTGAGGTGACTTATCACGCATATGTTAACCTTGATCACCTGGATGAAGCAGTGTTTGTCATGTGTCTCCGCTGTAAGGTTACTTTTCCCCTCCTCTTTCCATATTCTGAGGAAAGAAGTCACTAGGCTTAGCCCACACATAGTAAGTGGGAGCTCTGCTCCATGACCTTGAAAGTAGAGTTGCTACATAAATTATTGGGAATTCTGCATGGGAGATTTGTCCATTCTCTTCCAGTTACTTATGTATTCAGTCATTTATTTAAATCAATATGGACTCATAAAAATTTAGCTTCTATTTTAGGCTAAGACTCCACACTATTTTATTTATTTTGTTGCCCAGATTGTTCCAGCTTTGGCCATTAGGTGCCCTTTCAGTTCGCTTTAGTTCCCCTTTAAGAAAGGATTTTTTTTTTTTAAAGAAATAATATAGTGGAATTGGTCACACTCAAACTTGACTTGATAGCTGTATATAAAACTTTCCCATCCTTCAGACACAAAACAGGGTTTTTCTATGTTTATGTACATGTTTTAAAAATTGGACTTGGTCATGAAGAAAACCTTAAAAATTAATCCAATAAAATTGAAAGTAAATAACGAAAGGGTTTTAAAAAGTCTTAATTACTTGGAAATTAAGAAATGCATTTTTAGAAAACCCTTGAATTTGAGGAGAAATCGAAAAGAAATCACTAACAAAATAGAATGACCCAGCACAACAAAACTCTCCAAAATCTAGAGCTTTAAATGTCTTAATTTTTAAAGAAGAAAGACAGAACTTTTAAGGATCGAAATACTCATCATATGAAGTTAGAAAAAGTAACCAAAGTTTTGTTTTTTTTTTTAATCTGTCAGTGAGCAGCATTTCTCAGTTTTACCCCACCAAAAGGTGAGTTCTTGGCAGCTCCATCAGGTGGGATCACAGGATGCCTCTGTGATCAGGGTCCGTGCAGCTTGGGTATCAGCTGGGCACACCGGACGGTTGGGAAGGCTGGGCCTGTCCAGTGTCTTGGAGCAGCTGTGACAGGCACTCTGCCAGCTGGCTTTGACAGCTTCAATGTCACTCAGCAGATTCTGGGCCAGGCACAACCCCCAAATCTGTAGGAATGTAATGCCTATGAAAATACCAGTCACGATGGTTAAGTTGTCCTGCAACCGCTCCTCAAACTGGGGCACACTGCCTTTCGTGTAGATTGCAATCTGCTGATCGACTTCTGGTTTTTGCCTGGCGTCATGGCCACACTGAGCGTAGGTGACAACTTCTGTGGGATTGTTAGTACAGCAGGAGGATGGCACGCCACATCGCTCTCAAATTGCAGTGGCATGTTTAGGTTCCAAACATCAGCTCCAAAAGCCGCACAGCACTGCCAATATTCCTGGGTGTAGTCTATGAGGTTTTGCTAATCAATCAATGTCATCCTTATATGCTCTGATGTTGTTGTAAGAGAATTGTAATAGAGAGAAAGTTCAAAATGATGAAACAGAAAAAGAGAAAAGATAAATAAATCCAGAAATTGATTCCTTTGGAAAAAAACCAACAAAGCAGAAACATTTGGAAGCCTAATTAAGATGACAGAGAACAAAAATAAGCAAGGTTTGGAACAAGCGAGGGGCTATAACCACTTAAAAATTGCAGAAAAATACTGCATGCAACTCGATAACATCCAGATCTAAAGGAAATAGATGATTCCTAGCAAAATAGACATCACCAAATTTTACTCAGAAGTTGTAAAATGGACAAACTAATGACCATAGGAAAAACTAGAAGTTTATTCAAGTTCTACCGTTGGTAAGGACACTATTGTCAAGATGAGTTTAACCTTTAGAAAAGAAATAATTCCAATATATTTAGATATTTCAGGCCATGGACAATGCAAAACTCCCAGATTATTTTCATGAAACCAGCATAATTTTAAGACTTAATGGTGATAATTCTCATATAACATATCCTACCAACCAATGGTGCTCATGAATATAGAACCATTGCTGAACTCTATTTGCTAATTTTTAAAGCATTTTTGTATCAAAAATAATAATTTGACTAAATATGATTTATTCCAAGAATGCAAGGTCAATATTCTGTCAATGTAATCCACTATAATAACACAAGAGTTAGCCATATTATAGCAAGAGATACAGAAAAGATATTTGATAAAATTCAGTAGCTATTTAAATTGTGAATAAAATAGCAATAAAACGAAACTACTTGAATTGTGACTATAAATCATGATTCAATATTATCACAGCAAAAGTGAACTTAAACAGCAAATAATCTGATTCCATTTGCTCTGACAGTAGGTAGGGATATCCAATATGGCTAGTATTTAGTACTGCGTCTCTAAAATCTACAACAATATAAAGCATAAAATAAAACTGGCAGAAACATTGGGGGAAAAGAACAACAATGCTTTGTGCTAATGGCATCTATAAATGGAAAATCAAAAGGTTATGTTTTTGTGGGTTTTAAAATTTGCTTTTTAAGAAGTTATCAGAATTTGGTAAGGTGGCTGGATATAAATAATATAATAATGAATCACATTACTCTAGAAATCAGTAGATAGAAATGTTGGTTATAAATGGCATTGTTATATGACTTTGGTTATAAATGACAAGTTATATGGCGTTTAGAATAAATTTAAAAGAAAGGCACAAGACCTATTTGAAGATAATTAGAAAATCTCACTGATAACAGAAAGATCTCCCTTTAAAACTTGCTCTGGAATAAAATAACTTATGGTTAGTGTCAGTTCACCCCAAAAGAATATATAAACCTCATGCAATTCAAATTAGTAATACAAATATTTTTTAAAAATCTGGATGAATAACCCTAGATATATATTAAAGAATAAATGCCTAGGAATAACCTAGAAAACCATGAAGAATTATAATGATGGAGAATTTGCTTTTTAAGATTATGCCACCATCACTGTATTTAAACCAGTGTGATAGTTGCGTGGGAAGAGACAGATCAAGGATGTAGAAAAGAGATTTCAAAATAAGTGCCAATGCTTGAGAATTTAACATATGACAAAAATGGTTACTTCTATGGGAAAAAATGGGTTATCTAATACATGTGCTAGAACAATTAGCCAGACAGCTAAACTGACTTTCATCTGACACCGCATCCAAAGATAAGTCTCTTCTGGACTTTCCCAGGAGTCCAGCTATGATGAACTAAGGCCACACTGTGTAACCTGCCTGCCCCGGTCTTCCCATTGCAAAAAACAGTGATAAAACCTGGACCCAATACAAAAAGTAATTACCTGAAGGTATGGGCGAGTGAAGTGAAGCAGACAGATTCTAGTGGGAGGTTCACACTTGGAGGAGGGGGACAAGAAGCCCGACAAGTTCCTCTTTGTGGCTTCACATGGCAGTGCCCACAGCAGCTGTAAGGGAGCCAGAAAACTGAAGCTGAAATACTGTGAACACTGGAGAGTGTTGGAGGGGAGGGTGGTGTGCACCCACATTCTGACTCTCAAACTATGCATATGCAGAAGACTCAAAGCCGCTCAGCTAAAGACAAAAGGTCTGACCTGAGACTAGAAACACTGCTCAAAGACAGAGTTTGAAGTTTAAGCCAGGCAAAAACATTTTCTGCTAAAAACACTCATACAAGAAAAATAACAGAATCCAGAATTTTCACAATTTGATATTCATAATGTCCAGGATATAATCCCAAATTGTGTAACACACAAAGAACTAAGAAAATGGAACATATTCTCAAGAGGAAAAAGTTAATCAAGTGTGACCTCCTTTAAGATGAATCAGCTATTGCAACTAATAGACAAGGTTATTTAAATAACTATTACAACTATCTTCAATGAAGTAAAATAAAACATATTTTCAATTAATGAAAATTTCAGCATGGAAAAGGAAATCTCTGCAGAAGAAATAGAAACAGTAAAAAGGAAGCAAACTGAAATTCTAGAAATAAAAATACAATGTCTGAAATTAAAAATTCATTGGATGGACTTAAAATCTAAATGGATATGAAAGAAGAAAATGTAAGTGCATATGAAGATAGAGTGATAAATATTATCCAAGGTGAGAAACAGAAAGAGGATTGAAAAAAAGAAAAACAGGTCTGATTTTTTGTTGTTTAAAATATCTTTCATGTCCCTACTTATCATGCTCAATCTTCCTCTAACTTGAACATCCGGAGTGCAGTTATAATGACTGTTTGAATATCCATGTCTCCTAACTCCCTCATCGGTGTCATTTCTGGGTCAGTTTGACTGACTGAATTTTTTCCTGTTTATGGGCTGCATTTTTTTCTATTTCTTTTCATGCTTCTTAACTTTTGAATGTATTCTAGGCTTTGTGAAATTTTCCTTGTGTACATTATCATTTAAGCTATGCTTATTTAAATATACTTGAGCTTCATTTTGGGATGTAGTTAAATTACTTGGAAACAATTTGATCCTTCTGGTCTTGCTTTGTTAGCAGGGAACAAAGCAATATTTAGTCTAGGGTAAAATTTTTTTCCACCACTGAGGCAAACTCTTTTTGGTATTTCACTAATTCCTATAATTATGAGGATTTTTTTCACTCCAGATGGTGTGAACAGGCACTATGCTGGCCCTTGGTGTTCCGCGAAGACTATCCTTTCTAACCCTTTTGATAGTTTTCTCAGACACGTGTGTTGAAGAGTACTGGGACTCGTAGATCTCTGGAGTTCTCTTTCCTCATAGCTCACTCTCTCCTCTTCAGCACTCTGCTCTTCTGATTCTAGTTGCCTTCTCCCCACCCTGGATCCCAGCTCTGCTCTTCAGCTTAGGAAGATCACTTGGGTTGCCCTGCCCTGGGCTGCCGACTAGGAACTCTCTCTAGGCCATTGTTAGGGTGAGTTTAGGGCCCAGCTCCTTCATTTCTCATCTCTTAGAGACCACTGTCCTTCTTTAGTTGATGTTCAATGTCTTGAGAAACTTTCTTTAATATATTTTGTCCACTATGTTAGTTTCAGGGAAGAAGGCAACTCTGTTAGGGAACAGACGAGGGAAGAGTTACTCTGGGTCCCTCAGCAGCCATATCCCTTCAGTCTGGGCCCTGCATCTGGGATGCAACAGGGTCTGAGAAGATGAAAAGCAATCAGCTTTTTGATATAACAAGCAAATTGAAAAATTTATATAAAAAGGCAATGGACGTAGAATACCCAAAATTTTTTTGAAAAAAATCTATAGCAATCAAAATTAGTATAAGGATAGTCATAGAGACAAGAAATATATCCACACTTAAATGGTCAATCAAGTGCCAAGACAAATCAATGGAGAAAGGATGGTCATTTCAGAAATGGTGCTGGAGCAATTGTGTATTTGTATGCAAAAAAAAAATAGCTTATACCTTTAACTAACACTATAAAAGATTAATTAAAAGTGGATCAGAGACCTAAATGTAAGAACTAAAACTCTAAAAACTTCTGGAAGAAGACATAGAATAAAATCTTTGTGACCTTCGGTTAACCCTAAGATTTCTTAAACAGGATATAGGCAGCATAAATATAAATGCAAACAGATGATAAAATGGACTTCATTCAGATGAAAACCTTTGGATTTTAAAAAACATGGTTAAGAAGGTAAAAATGCAAGCTATAGATTGGGAGAATTTTTTTTTTTTGCATTTATACATCAGAAAAAGGACTTATCTAGAATATAAAGAACTCTTACTCTCAAGAGTAAGAAATCAAACATCCCAATAAAAACTGGGCAGAAAGTCTTTCTAAAACGTAGACCAAATTTGTGAACAGATATTTTACTGGCAAAGGTATATGAAAGGCCAAAAAGCATATGAAAAGATTCTCAACATCACTAGTCATCAGAGAAAAGCCAAATAAAAACCACAGTGACACGCCTACTAGAATGAGTGAACGGAAAAATCCTGACCATACCAAGTGCTGGTAAGGATAACAGAGCAACTGTAAGTCTCATCCATTGCTGGTCAACATGCAAAATGGTACAGTCGCTTTGGAAAGGTCTGGTAGTATCTTTAACTGTATGATATATACTTCCCATATGACCTAGAAGTTCTATTCCTAGATATTTACCAAAGAGAAAGAAAAACTGACACTCACAAAACCATATATGCAAATGTTTACAGTGGGACAATCTCCAATAGAAGAAAACTGGTGAGTGGATAAACAAATTGTGGTTTATCTGTACTGTGGAATTCTACCCTGCAGTGAGACGTAACAAAGGACAAATGCATGCAACATCATGGGTAAATCACAGTAACAGTATGCTAAGTTAAAGAAGTCAAGAACAAAATCCTGTAGTGAGTGATTCCATTTACAAAACAGTTCTAGAAAAATGCAAAACTACAGTAACAGAAAGCAGATTAGCGGTTGCCTGCAGCTGTGGGCAGGGGATAGAAGGGGACACAAAAACCCTTTTTATGATGATGGATCTGTTCTATACCTTGATTGCAATTACTTTATTATATATAATTACCACAATTCATCAAACTGCACACGTAAAACAAGTGTATTTTATTTTCTGTAAATAATACCTTAACTTTTAAAAATCAAAAAAAAAAAAAAGCAAAATAGGTTCCCCATGACTTACATGCTCAAATATAAAAAAACAAAAACAAACAACAACAAAAATATACT